AAGAGAAAATGGATAATGAAATTGGGGCATATTGATACAACTGAATAATTCTCAATAACGGAAACAAAGAACATACATGTATGAATCTCAAAAACATGTAAAAGAATACATACTATGACTCCAATATGTAAACTCGAAGGAAAGGCAACTAATAATCTACACTGACACGTATGATTAACCCTATTTGAAGGATGGAGGGTAGTGAAAGGAAAGGGGTAGAAAAGAAGTTTCAAGGATGATAGAAATGTTTAACTTTTGGATGGGGTTACATATATAAAATATGTATCCTACCTGAAAAGTCACTTAACTTCATATTGATTCTTCTGGGCACTTTACTGAATGCAAACTATATCTCAACTGCTAAAATGTAAGCCACTGGGGTTATGTGATATAACAATTTAGAGATCAATCACATAAATATTATTTTAAAAATTCTGTAGCCATATAACATAATGTCTAGCTAAAAATTGTATCAGTTTACAAGTAATACATGCTATTTTTGTAGCTACATGTTTCAAGGGACAAAAAGAAAAAAAAATGTTTGGAAAGTACCCATTCAGAAACTTTCTCATCTCAACTGTAATGTGCTCCTTATCTGAGCTGTATTAAAATAACTTAATCCAGATCAGGGTCAGAAGGGTATCTTAAGCATATGGAAAATCTTATCCTTTATCACCATCCATACATCCTTTATTTTTTAAAGAACAATTTAACTTCATTGTTACATAAAATGGTCCTATTGCCCTCATTCTTCATTTCCTTAAGCGTCACTACTCCCTACCAGAAAAATAAAAAGTAGAAACACATAATACATGATTCAATCAGCCTCTGATTATTTTGAGGAAAAAAATTACTATACTACTCCCCAAATGCACATTTTCAAACACAGGAATCTGTCCTCTGATTTTATCATTATGTAAATTCAACTTCATAAGGAATTTTTAAGTATCCTATTTGCACTTGAAAAAAATCTAAAGCAAGGGCATACAGCAGCTGTCTCTTAATCTCTGCGTGTGTGTGTGTGTGTAAAAGTGTCATAACTGGACAATCATTTCTGCTGTTCTCTGTAAAACTTTCTCATGAAGAGAGTTCTTTACTCAGAATGATACAGCTGATTTTAAAAGATACATTCTATACATTGACCTATAGACAGTTATATTCTGGGAAAAACATTCAATGTGCTCATAGTTCAGTCATGGTAGGGTAAGCCCACTCTAGTCCATTTCTCATGCTGATTACAATTAACAACATCAAATGCATAAGGGTTTGTGCATGCACACACACACACACACACACAGAGGAGTACACACACACCTACAACATCAAAAGCTGGCAGACTATGGAAGAGAGGCAAAAACCTAGGAAAGTGACTTTCACAGTGGTGAGTTTCTCCTTCTGCTTCATGTTTCTGTTTTTCTTGCTTAGTATGACCCCAAGGGACAATCCCAATTGCAACTTGGCAAGGCCATGGCAGCTACATAAGCAGATAAAGTGTGAGATAAACCCTGTTTTCCTCACAGGACTCCTGAAGACCTCATCCTAAGGATGAGGAGTGGGGTGTAGATCCTTTAACTCTGGGAATGAATTTGTGCACAAATATCAGCAAAATTCCTGAACTAAGCATGCATGAAATAGTCACAAATGAGGCCAGCAAGGGCTTTGGCAGCTGAATAGATATTTGAGGCTTCTGCAGAAGTCTCATTTCAACTCCTCAATTTCATATGCAAAGGTGAGACACAAACCAATATAGCCAATGCTTAGAGAACTTAACCGAGATTCTGACCACCTGTCACAGAAGATGAGATACAATTTATAGCCCAAATTTACGTGACTTGGTTACCAGTTAAACCATAACCAAATATGTACAATGTACACAGCAGCATCCCACATTAGTCAGTTTACAGAGAATCAGGAAAGTTTAACCAACTCCTCAAGACAAAAGACCAAAAACATGACACAACCTGATGGCTGAGCTGTCTAAGAGATTCAAGCAGCTATTATAACTATGCTTCACGAATAAAGAACAATTCTTTCTGAAATGAATGAAAATATAGGAATCCTCAACACAGAATAATAAATTATAAAAATACATTTTTGGAAGTAAAAAATACAGTATTTCAAATTAAAAACTCACAGGGTTAACTCAAAAGCATTAAAGAAGTAATGTAGAAAAGAAACAACAATTCAAACCATGGATCAATAGAAATTATCTGATGTCAAGAACAGAAAGCGAAAGTGAGAAATAAAGAATGAAATAAATGTACAGATCCTAAGACAGCTGTAGGATAATCTCCAAAGATAATTGGAGAAGCAAGAAAGGAAATGTAGAGAAAGAAAATATTTTGAATAATGCTTGCAAGCTTTCCAAATTCAGTAGAATACATAAATTTACAGATTCAAGGAACTCAGCAATCTACAAGCACAAGGCAAACCATACCTAGATATCTCACAAACTTGTGAAAATTAATTGCAAGGAAATAAAAAGCTATTGAAAATACCTAGAACATAAGGCCCACTACACACATAAGAATGGGTTAAAATACTGATGGTTTCTCATCAGAAGCCATGGAGGCCTGCTTGTAATAGGATAACATCCTTGTGAGCTGAAAGAAGAAATTCGTCAACCCAGAATTATATACCTGGTGAGAATATTCTTCAGAAGTGAAAGTGAAAAAGATGCATGTTCATATGAAGGGAAAATAAGGTAATTCGTCCAAGAGACTGGGTATGTAAGATTACTAATGGAAGTGCCCCACAATGAAGAAACTATCCCAGAGGCAACCAAGGACCTGCAGGAATGAAGGAAGAGCTGCAGAAATGGTAACTTTCTGGGTAAATGTAAAACACTATTTGTTCTTTTTTAGGTCCTTAAAAATACATATAACTATTTAAAACAAATTATTTATCTAGTGGGATTTTCATTGTATATGGATATATGTGAAAATTTTAACAAAAAAAGTGGGGAATAATTTGTATTATTGCAGCTTTTCTATATGTTCTGTGAAGTGGTACAACGTTAAGTCTAAAGAATATTAAGAGCTTGCTATCAATAAAGTAACTCCTAGAGAAAACACTTCAATACAGAGATTTCGCCAACATATGCACATTAAGTGAGCTGGAGTGTGAAAAATATTTTTTAAAAAATCAAAAAGATGGGAGGAAAGGGGGAAGTGAAGATCAAAAAGGAGGACAAATAGAAGAGAAATAATTTAAATGCAACCAAAGTCCAAAAACTCAAATTAAATAGTATAGATTGGCAAAATTAATCTAAGAACAAGAACTAATATATATTCTATAAGAGACTTTAAGTATAGAAAAAATATGGTACTGAAAAGAAAGAAAAAATATTGTATTACACAGTTATTGAGCTTCAATATTAAATAAAATACATTTTAAGACAAATAATATTTCCAGAAGCTGAAAGATTTTTTTCCCAATGATATCAGGAGAAATTCACCAAGTAAGCAATTATTAATGTTACTAAAACTAATTAATAAAGTCTGTAATATATAAAACAATCAATGTTAGCATTAAATGAGGTAATAGGCAATTCTATACTCTTGGTACGAGGTTTCTGTAACGTTTTTAAGTAATAGAAAAGCTAAAAATTTCCCTCAAAATGAATGATAACATAGTCATTTACCTTTATCTAATGAACTTTTTAAATCTCTCATCCAACCACTGCAGGATACATATTAATTTCAAGTACACATGGGGCCAGCGCTGTGGCGCAGCAGGTTAATGCCCTGGACTGAAGCGCCGGCATCCCATATGGGCGCCAGCTCTAGTCCCGGCTGCTCCACTTCCCATCTAGCTCTCTGCTATGGCCTGGGAAAGCAGAAAATGGCTCAAGTCCTTGGGCCCCTACACCCGAATGGGAGACCTGGAAGAAGCTCCTGGCTCCTGGCTTCGGATTGGTGCAGCTCCGGCTGATGCAGCCAACTGGGGAGTGAACCATTAGATGGAAGAGCTCTCTCTCTCTACCTCTCCTCTCTCTGTGTAATTCTGACTTTCAAATAAATCTTTAAAAAAAATAAAAATTTCAAGTATACATGGTGTATTGATCAAGATAGAACTCATCCTGGACCATCAACAAAGTCTCAATATTAAAAATAATCAAAATCATAAAAACCACTAATAAAACCTAAGAAAAATATGTGAATGATATAATACATTACAAAATAGTTCAGGGGCAAACACCAAAATGTATAACATATTTAGAAAATATTTTGAACTGCATGACAACAAAAATACAACATTCTAAAAGTTGTATAAAGAAACTAAAGAGGGCTGAGAGAGACACATTTCTCTATAAATGCTTATGTTAGAAAAAGAAAACAATAAAATAAAATGACCTAAGATTCAGCCATAAAAATCTTTAAAAATTGAACAAATTAAACCCAAAGTAGAAGGAAAGAAACAGTAAAAAGCAGAAATCAAGTAAAGATAAGATAGACAAAATAAAACAGTCTATTATTTGAAAAGATTTTAAAAAACTAAACCCTAGATGGAAGGTTCAGGAAAAGGAGAGATGACAAAAATATAAGTTTCAGGAATGAAAAAGAGATGGCTGGCGCCACGGCTGACTAGGCTAATCCTCCGCCTGCAGCGCCAGCACCCCGGGTTCTAGTCCTGGTCGGGGCACCGGATTCTGTCCCGATTGCTCCTCTTCCAGTCCAACTCTCTGCTGTGGCCCGGGAGTGCAGTGGAGGATGGCGCACGTGCTTGGGCCCTGCACCCACATGGGAGACCAGGAGGAGGCACCTGGCTCCTGGCTTCAGATCAGCATGATGCACCAGCTGCAGCGGCCACTGGGGGGTGAACCAATGGAAGGAAGACCTTTCTCTCTGTCTCTCTCTCTCACTAACTGCCTGTCAAAAAAAAAAAAAAAAAAAAAGAGTTCATCACAAAGATCCAACAGAAGTTCAAAGAGTAAGGCTATTACTCCAAAATATGTTACAAAAAATGACATTGCCAAATTTCTTGAAATATATACTTACCAAAATTGATACAATACACATACATATGAGATTTGAAAAACTCCAGGTCAAAATGTTTTTACCGTTGAATTATTATAAACCTACAAAGAAGAAATGACACTACTTAACACAAATATTTTCAGAAAATAATGAAATTGGGATCAATATCAGCCTAGCATTAAAACCAACTTCTATCCAATTATGGAAAAACAAAGTCATATTCCATTATCCCCCATATGGATATAAAGATCTTTAACACAGTGTAAGCAGGTATAATCCAATAGCACACATAAATACATAAGCATGTACAAATGTAAATATGAAACATGATTATAAAATTGTCTTTCCTAAAAACATAGGATCAGATTAACATGGAAAGATAACTGTAGTGTATGGTAATTACTGAACGCAAAAAAAATCCATATGATCATTACAATAAACGTCAAAAAATCATCTGAGAAAAGTCAAATCACTTGATAATACTAATGAAAGAAAATAACAAAAACCCCAGTTCTTGTCTAATTAATAACATTAGGGAATGTTCTTAAGCTGATAAAAGGCATGTGGGAAAAACTAACAGCCAGTGTCATACTTAAGATTGGAAGTGAAATTTTTCCGCATGTGAATGAAGAACAAGCCAAGAACCCCAGCTGGTAATACTACTTAAACAGGACCTAGTCATTGTATAAAAGAAAAAAAGGTGGGGGGTAGAGAGAAACCACCAAGAATTTGCATGTTCTATGCTCATGTACAGAGAATTCCCAGGAACCCAAAACATACAACCACTCAAAGTAAAGAAATAATTTAGCAATATGCAGGATAAAGGTTAAACAGTATTCCACAATGACATATAAGGGGCATTTTTTTTCAAATTCCTTTTACAGTAGTGGGCAAAATCAGAGAAAACTAATGCATATATCCACAAAAAGACTGGCACAGAAGTGACCGGGCTCTGTTTATAATAGCTATTAACTGGAAACAACCAAAATGTCTAACAAACAGGAGAACGAATAAGCCAAGCACAGAACATTTATCCATGCAATGGAATAATACTGGACAAAGGGAAAAACAGAAGGGAGCAAATTTCTCATGTACTCAACAACATAAATGCATTGCAAAACCACACTAAGTGAAGAAGCCAGGCAAAATAACCATTTGTGCAACATTCTGGAAGATGCAAACTAATTATAGTAGGAAAAACAGCCAGTCAGTGGTTGCTTGGTGATAGAGCTGGAAGGAGAGAGGGATGACAAAGGGGACCTGAGGAGAGTTTGGGGGCATAAAGAAATATTCTTTATCTGGATTGTGGGGACAGTTTCATCAGTGTATGTGTATAGCAAAACTGATAAAATTGTATTTAAATATATGCAGTTTTTTGTACATTGATGATACCTCAATAAAGTTTTTTAAGGTAACATAGTCTATAAAACATAAAAACAATTCAAAATTAAAAATCAGGGGATGCACATTTTGTTTAAAGACATCCATTCAGCCTGTTTTTACCTGAAAATGATAGTGACTTCTTAAGGATAAAAAGAACATAGGGGTGGTATTTAGCCTAGCACTACAGATGGCTGCGTCCCACACTGGAGTGTTTAGGTTTGATTTCCAGCTATGCATCCTTATTCCAGCTTCCTGTTAATGCAGATCCTGGGCAGCAGTGATGGACTGAGTAGTTGTATTTCACTTATGTGGGAGACCTGGATTGAGTTCCCATCACCCTGCTTTGGTCACAGACCAGTTGTGGTCACTGCAAGCTTTTGGTGAGAGTACTAGCAGATGGGCGCTTTCTCTCTCTCTCTCTCTCTCTCTCTCTCTCTCTCTCTCTCTGCCTCATCATCACTAGCATCATCATAAATCAAAGAATATCATTTGACAAGATGCCATTATATTTAGTGACATTGTTTCAAAGTTCTATTATGGGTGCTGGCATTGTGATGCAGTGAGCAAAGTTAACAACTTGCACTGTCCGTGTCCCAAATTAGAGTGCTTGTTCAAGTCCCAGCTACTCCACTTCCAACCCCATTTCTTGGTACTGCACAAAACAGCAGGTGATGACCTAAATACTTGGCTCCCGGCCACCATGTGGGAAACCAGGATGGTGTGGGGAGCAATCCGGACTGGACTAAGTTACTGAAATTAAGACTTATTCTATGCATCTGCTCTCCCACAACATGGCGTTGGGAGAGAAGTAAACAGCTTCCGCACAGCTGCCTCCAGTTCAACTAATAAACTGTAGGACTTGCTCCTGATTGGAGGAGAGCAGCGTACTCGGCGTGTGGGCAGCCGAGTTAGGATTGGCGGAGGAGGACTATAAAGGAGGAGAGAGACGGCATGCACCGGGAACATCTATGGGGAACATCTAAGGGAACCCGTGCAGCCCCCGAGAGAGCTGGCCGGCGGTGTGCCGCTCCCCTGCGGAAGTGGGGAATGTGGCCAGGGGGAACTGCCCTTCCACGGAGGTGGAAGGGATAGTAGCCAACCCGGGAAGAACCAGCAGCAAACCCGGGGAGGGCCGAGCAGACGAAAGAACAGCGCAGGGTCCTGTGTCGTTCCTCCACGAAGAGGGGGAGCGACATAATGGTGCCGTGACTCGGATATGAAGCCTAGGCAGGGTCCTGTGTCGTTCCTCCACGAAGAGGGGGAGCGACATAATGGTGCCGTGACTCGGATATGAAGCCTAGGCAGGGCTTAGTGTCGTTCCTCCACGAAGAGGGGGAGCGACAGGATGGAGTTGCTGGATCTTGACTTTAACCTGGCCCAACCCTGGCTGTTGCAGCCATTTTGGAGGTGAACCAATAGATGGAAGATCTTTCTGCTGTCTTTCCCTCTCTCTCTCACTCTCCCTTTCAAATAAATAAATCATTTCTTAAAAGTCTTTTTTTTTTAATGCCATACTATATAGCATTGTCTTACATATTTTCACTTAATCTGGTTCCTATGGAATATCTACAATTGAAATGCTGACTTATAACATTTATTGAATAACACACTTAGGAATGGTGTGACCAGCATAGTGGTCAGGATATTAACAAAAGTGATGACTCTTAGGGGTCAGCATTGTGGCATAGCAAGCTAAGCAGTTACCTCGATGCTAGCATCCCATATGAGTACCAGTTCCACTCCCAGTTGTACCACTTCCTTTATTTTTAAGATTTTATTCATTTATTTGAGAGGTAGAGTTACAGACAGTGAGAGGGAGAGACAGAGAGAAAGGTCCTCCTTCCATTGGTTCACCCCCTAGGTGGCTGCAACAGCTGGAGCTGAGCCGATCCAAAGCCAGGAGCCAGGTGCCTCCTCCCACTCTCCCACGCGGGTGCAGGGGACCAAGGACTTGGGCCATCCTCCACTGCTTTCCCAGGCCACAGCAGAGAGCTGAATTGGAAGAGGTGCAGCTGGGACCAGAACCGATGCCCATATGGGATGCAGGCAGAGGATCAACCTACTGCACCATGGCACCAGCCCCATGTACCACTTCTGATTCAACTCCCTGCTAATGCACCTGGGAAAGCAGTGAGAGACATCACATTTTCGTGGGCCCCTGAACCCATGTAGGTGACCCAGATGGAGTTTCAGGCTCTTGGCTCTATCCCATCTCTGGCCATTGTGGATATTTGGGGAGTAAAACAGTAGATGTAAGACCTCTTTCTGTCTTTCCCTCTCTCTATGTAATTCTGCCTTTCAAATAAATAAATAAATCTTAACCAAAAAAGTAATGATTTTTTTTAAAGAGGTTACTTTCCCATACACAAGTTGTTATCTTCACGTGAATACACAGTTAGGGATTTTACACATAACCTTAGTATTCATATTGTAATCCAAAAGACCAATATTCTCTAAGAAAAACTACACGTACAATATTTCCAGGCATCCTAATAAGGAAAAATCACTAACACTTTGCATTCCCATCCCACATTTATTCTCAAAGTGTTTCCATAGCTATTGAATGGAGGTAATTATGGTGGGGCAATTACACTAACCCCTTCAAACATGTAAAACATTGTTATATGGCAATGCTTTGCTTCTATCTAGCTCTATGACCTTGACCATGGCTCCAGTCTTCCATTTTCTCACCAATAAAACAAAATGAGCAGGTTGGGGTTATCTTTTAGCTCTTTCAACTTGGACATTTGCTTTATGGTTTTTCTTCTAATAAGGGAAGCAGGATCAAAGGAAGACAGAGTGAGAGGTTAAGGGGGCCATGCAAGTCACAAGACAGTTCAATCACCTGGGATTAGAGTCCCAGTCACTGCCCACCTGGCTCCAAATGCCCTTTGCTCCATGACCAAGCCCTGTGATGGTCTTTTGGACAGGCTACAAGCTCACCATCTACAAGATTTTGTTGAATTTCTGCTTCAACAAGGGAAAGGGAAAAACTATACAAAGCCATGGGCTTATGATTCTATGACACTTGGCCTTTGACTTTTGCATCTAAACCTCCCAGGGCATGAGCTGAGAGAGAAAAATAATTCTTTGAGAAACGAGACTTTTTATTACAGTATTTACCTTTTATGGTTGTGCAATAAATATGTGATCTAAAGAAGATTTTTTAAGAAAAGATCAGCTTATCAAGGAATTGAAGAGTCATCACAGGGGTCCAAATCAAAGCAGAGGTTTCACACTCTCTTCCTCTTTTTATTTATTTGGGAGACACAGAGTTCTTGTACCTGCTGGTTCATTCCCCACATTTCGGCAATGGCCAAAGGTAGGCCACACCAAACCAGGAGCAAGGAACTCCATCTGCATCTCCACATGGGTCGCAGGGACCCAGTTACTTGGGCCATCACCTGCTGCCTCCCATGGTGGGCAAGAGCAGGAATCTGGAATCAGGAGCAGCGCTGGGACTCAAACCCAGGTACTCTGAAATAGGAGTGCAAGCTTCTTAAGCAGTATTATAACTGCCAGGAGAGAAACCTGTCTTTACCCTTCTATTTCACCCATGGGCTCCAGGTATTTGTACGTGGAGGTTATGTAGCATCATGAGAAGGCTACGGATTATAGGACGATAGCCACCTAAATTGTGAGTTCAGTTATTTAACAACTCTGTATGTTGAAGAACTGGATTTCAGTGCCTTAAAAGCAAGTTCATCTCTGCTTGAAGGTTAGCATACAAAAATAATTGCTTTTCCTCCCAGTTGTTATGAAAAATTTCACACAGACAGAAAAATTGAGAGAATTATCCAGTGAAAACTCACTTGTCCTCTACCTACTTTGTACAATGAACATTTGGTTAAATTTGCTTTCTATCAGGGCCGGTGCTGTGGGGTAGCTGCTAAAGCCGCTGTCTGCAGTGCTGGCATCCTGTATGGGCACCGGTTCGAGATATGGCTGCTCCACTTCTGATCCAGCTCTCTGTTGTGGCCTGGGAAAGCAGTGGAAGATGGCCCAAGTCCCTGGGCTCCTGCACCCATGTGGGAGACCCAGAAGAGGCTCCTGGCTCCTGACTCAGATCAGCCCAGTTCCGGCCATTGCAGCCATTTGGGGAGTGAATCAGTGGATGGAAGACCTCTCTCTCTCTATCTGCCTCTGCCTCTCTTTAACTCCACCTTTCAAATAAATAAATAAATAGTTTTTTAAAAAAATGCTTTCTATCAAATATCTATGCATCATCCATCCCTCTATCCTTTACTCAATCTATTTTTTCAAACATTTCAAAGCTGGGTGGAAATGTCAGTTCATTTTACCCTTAAAATACTGAAATTATTTACCATGTTTTACTGTAAAACCTGCATAAGGTACAGCACACAAATTTGAAATGCACCACATGATAGGCTCTGACAAATGAAAATGCCTGCATAACACAAGCTTCCATCAAAATACAGAACATTTCTCTTACCCTCAAATCTTCCTTCATACCACATCCTGGTCAACCCCTGCCTCATTTCCTGTGTCCTATTTTCATGGTAAATTAATTTTGCCTGTTCAATGTTTTTTTTTTTTCTTTTTTTATGGTGACAAAGATTCCATTTATGAATCCTGGCTTGTCTTAACTTCATCTTGATGAACACCATGGCTCTTCTAAATAAAGCTGCCATGAACCTTCTGGTACAAGTCTACTAGTTTCTCTTTGGAAAAGACCTACAAGTGAAATTGTAGGTACTGGGGAAAGTGTATGATTATTTTTAAAGGAAATTTTCAGACTTCTGCCCCAAGTGGCTGCACTTCAGTGTACACACACTCCAAAATTTAAGAGTTCAAGCTGGTCCATATCCTTACTAACATCTGTCTTTTAAAATATGTTTCTAAATGTAAATTTTTAATTTTAACTTTTGAATTTAAAATTTTTAATTTTTTAAAAAAGAATTAATTTTGAAAGACAGAGGGAAAGGGAGAGTGGGAGAGAGAGAGAGAAAAACTGATATTCCATCTGCTGGTTCACTCCCCAGATGGCTGCAATGGCCAGTGCTGGGCCAGGCAGAAGCCAGGAAACAGAAGCTTCTTTGAGGTCTCCCACATGGGAGGCAGGGGCTCAGGTACTTGGGCCATCTTTCCCTGCTTTCCCAGGCCATTAGAAGGAAGCTAGATTGAAAGTGGAGCAGCCAGGACACAAAATGGCATCCATCTGGGATGTCAGCATTGCAGGCAGTGACTTTACCCCTATGCCATACCACTGGCCCCAAATTTTTAAGTTTAGATTCAGACATTTTAGTGGATGTCTCACTGTGATTTAATTTGCATTTCCCTAATGAGAACATTTTTTCATTTTATTTTCCATCTCTATATCCAATTTGTGGATACTCTGTGAACTATTTGATCAAGGATTCTTTTTATTTATTTTAAAAAGATTTATTCATTCATTTATCTGAAAGGCAGAGTTACAGAGAGAAAGGGCGTGTGTGTGTGTGACAGAGATGGTTCACTCTCCAAAATGTTTTCTGCACCGGTTAGGGCTGGGCAGGGCCAGGCCAAAGTCAGGAGCCTGGAACCACATCCAAGGTCTCCCAAGTGGGTGGCAGGGGCTCAAGCACTTGGGCTATCTTCCACTGCTTTCTCAGGCATATTAGCAAGGAGCTAGATGGGAAGTGGAGTAGTGGGGACTTGAACAGGTGCTCATATGGGATGGTGGCACTGCAGGCAGCAACTGAACCCACTGTGCTACCACACCAGCTCCTGCCTCTTATTTGTTGGACTGTTTCTATTATGGAGCTGCAGAAATACCTTATATATTCTGGATAAGAATTCTTTGCCACATATGTGTGTTGTCAATTTCTTAACAGTACCTTTTGACTAGTTCAAGTATTCACTTTTAATTAAGTCTAATTTATCAGTGTTAATGGTTTTTGCTTTCTGTAGCTTATGAAACTTTTGCCTACTCCCAACATTGTAGGTATTCTATTTCTTCTTGTGAAAGCTTTATAACTTTAGCTTTCATTTGTAGTTCTGTGACCTATCCCAAGTTTAATTTTTGTGAATGGTGTGAGGTAAGGATTGATGTTCCAGTTACTATGGCACTAGTTTCTACAAAATACTTTCTCCTCTCCTAAGATCTGACAGTCCTGGCATTTACTTTGGGAAAATCAGTTGACTGCACAAGTGCTGAGTGCACTGCTGAGCTCTCAATCCTATTCCACAGATCTGTTTATCTCTTTTTATGCAGAAATTGTGATCACTGTAGCACTGCAGTAAGTCACTGAGTCAGATTCTACAATTCTTCCAATTCTGTTCTTCTCATTCTACCTTGTTTTGGTTATTCTACCTGTAGTGCACACTCATATAAAATTAAGGATCACATTGTCTTTCTACAGAACAAACAAACCTGATGTGGCTTCATTTCATTTAATCTAAAGATAAACCTGCAAGTAATTGATATCTCAACGTTATAATCAATACACACTACATCTCCTTCTGCATATTTAAGTTCCTTTTTATTACTTTCAACAATATTTTAGAGTGAACTTTTGTAAGTATTTTTGATAAAGTAATCAATAAGTACTTTGTTTTATCATGCTATTGAAAGTGTAATCTTTTTTCTTAATGTTCTTTTTTTTAAACTTTTATTTAGTAAATATAAATTTCCAAAATATAGTTTATGGATTACAATGGCTCCCCCCCCATAACTTCCCTCCCATTTGCACCCCTCCCATCGTTTTTTTTCAGTACTTAAAATTGTTTTGTAGATTCTTTAGGATATCCTCTGCAACCAACCATGTCATCTATAAACAGGGAAAGTTTTACTATTTACTCTCTAATCTGTATTTCTTTTGTTTCATTTTTATTGCATTAATTACGATCTCCAACACAGTAATAATAAAAAGGAGTGACAGTGTGTACCCTTGCTGAGTTAGCAATTTTGGAGTTGAAAGCATTCAAGTATTTCTCCATTAAAGTATGATCCTAGCTGTAGAGTTTTCAGTGATTCACTTCATCAGATTAAAGTCCCTTACCACTCCTGCTTTGCCTCAAATTTTGATTATAAATAGATACTCCATTTTGCCAAGTTATTTTTCTACATTATTTAAAACACCCTATAGTCTTTTACTGTGTGGTACTGATGATAAACAAGATTGTTTTTCAAATATTTAACTTTGTATTCCATGGACAAACACAACTTGGTTATGAAATATTATCATTTTATAAATTGCTGCACCCCATTTCATGATACTTTGCTAAGGTATCTACTTTTTAAAATTCTTTTTAAAAATTTTTTTTGCATAAGAGTTATGATGGCTACATAAAATGCTATCTTCCTACCTTGTCTAATTCCCAAAATACTTTGCATAAGATTGGTGTTATTCCTTCCTTAATGTTTGATAGAATTCAGTATTGATACCATCTGAGTACAATTACCTTTAAATAATCATTGTGTCCAGTTAACTGTGTTGTGATATTTCATTTTTATTATTTTTTCCTATTTATGCTAATATTTCAATTTACATAAAGTCCCAAGTTATATATGTGAAAGTTTAGAACTGGGAGGAATTAAGGAACTTACCCGAGGAAATGCAGAAAATTAGTCAGCTACAAATATCCAGGCAGGTTTATGAAGTGTTTACCAGGCCACTGGAACTCATGGTAGTCTGGAATGTAATGAGATAAGAATTAGGAAACTTCTCTAATATGTGGCACTCATGAAATGAACAAGTGTCTCTGCTGGACATCAGTTGCTGTTCAAGACAAGAAGGAGGTTACTACTCCAAAATGTATTATTTCCAATGCCTACTAATCTAATTATTAAAAGGAAGAAAGAAAAGTGGACAAGCAAGTCTGTTGCACTTATTAACACATCACATTTGCTCCAATCCATTTCTGTCTCAATATTTTATTTATGCAACTGTGTTTTCCTAGAGTTTCCAAGTATGTGAAATAAGTTACTAGCTATGTTTATCACTTCATTAGTAGTTCTCTATCATATACAAGGCATGAGATGCTTATTTATAACAAATTAGACAGTGGAGTGCCAATTAAGAAATAAGAGAACCTATAAAGAAAATCATCTTTGTGCAGCATGAATTGCCAAAAAAAAAAAAAAAATAGCTGAAACAAAACACATCTCACGGTTTTATTTGATCCAATGCTGAAAACAAACAGCATAAATCTTTAGTTTCTTTATGGTTACTGGTAACCCAAAAGAGGTAGATCATATTTGTTTTTCAAGATGAGATATTTCATTGTGTAATGGGTTTAGATCATGAGTCAAATGAAATAAAATAAAAACAAACAAGAGTTGTATCAGGCACACAGGCAACCTAATTGTGCATTGATTTAGCTATGTCTAAACACAGTATGAAAAAAGAGAATGCAGGCATGTGATCCCTACACAAATTCTCTGGTATTATTTCCTCCATTTGAACCTACCAAATGAACAAAAAGGAATGAGGTAACTACCCAGTTTTTCTTTTAGGAAATGAACTCTATCCATCCATGTTCCTCATTCGTCTTAAACATCTGACTTAAAAACACTCGAAGTTTCTCAGGAAACAGGGGTAGGGAAAAAATTCGTTGACAGGGTTCAGTTTTGACAGTGTATCCAGCTGTTTATAGCTTTTCATTTTTTCCATAAACCTAACTGGTATCAGTATATGTAAAGTCCCTAACACTTTCAGCTGGGGAATACTTCACAGAAGAAAAATGCTTTCCTTGGAGTTTACAAATGCAATTTGGTCTAATTTTTCAGCAAGGGTTTGTCTAGTTAGATTATGAGATTCTTTTCCTGGAGAGCAACAGCAAGAGGATGTCTCCCATGCTGTCAGAGAGCCAAAGTTATATTTTCGTTCCTTGGAAGAAACATATAATGTAAGAGGCAAAATGTCAGGTGGGTGGGGGAGCCACTAGCCCACACACCCCTCCAGAGAGCTCTCTATAAAAAGGCACCCTGAAAAAGGCACTGCACTGGCAGATTCGGCTTCAAAGAACAGTCCAAGAAAGCAGATGGGGGCTGGAGTTTCTGGGACAGGATTCACACGAATGGTGTCTACTTAGGCGACATGGACTTCTAAGGTTCTGAGAGGCCCAGGGAAAACCGTGCCCAGAGTGTTTGAGATCAGAAATACAAACAGAAAGTTGAGAACTGGTTTAGAGCAAAAGAACAGAGACAAAGAAGAACAAACAGCACAGGGATTTCTGCAAGTCTTTATACACTGGATTTCTCACCTACAAGGTCAGTGCTTCTACTGCTTAAAAAGTTAAAATGAGACACTGGCCAAGATTTAATTCTTGTGGTGGACATTTGGTGCGGCGATTAAGGCATCACTTGGTATGCCCCCATCTCTTGTTGGAGTGCTTGGCTTTGAGTCCCGGCTCCACTCCCAATTCCAGCTCCCTGCTAATACACATTCCAGGAAACAGTAATGGTGACTTGAGTACTTGGGTCCCTGCCACCCGCATGGGAGACCTGGATTAAGTTCCAGACTCCTGCCTTTGGCCTGGTCCAACCCTACCTGTTGCAGACATTTGGGGATTGAAACAGCAGATAGAAGATCTTTCTTCCTGATTTAATTCTTAACTATGAATGCTACATTGGGCCAAATATCCTGCCATGTAACATCCTATTCCTTTATTAATTTATTCAGTACATATTTTTCAAATCGCTCATTAGAGCTCATTTTTTCTACCAATGACCTCAATTTGAGGTGAATTTGTATTTTAAAGATGACTAAGTTTTAAGCTAATAATGTCCCCAGGTATTTAATTTTCACAAGGATGCACTAGAGGACCAAGCTATATCTTAAACTCATGAATTGCATAATAGGAACTCATTAGTAAAATAGTTTTTTCAGCTGTGTATTCAACTTCAGTGTGGTGATTAAACTGTGGATTCCAGCTGCTTGAGATCAAATCCTGGCTTTACCAGTTATTAGTTCTATGACCATGCACAAGTTATAGAACCTTTTGGAATTCAGTTTCCTCCATCACATGATGAGATAAAGAGCAATGCTCACTTCACCTGGTAGTGAGAATTCAAGGCATTCTACAGGAAGCTTCTTAAACAGTGCCTAACAAGAGGTGATAGCTAAGAGTTACCTGTTGCTGTCTACTACTGTGACCTCAAATAATATTTTTTTTCCTTTTTTTCTGGATCCAAAAATATTTAACTTCATGATTCAAGCATTTAGCCTCACAATTAAGATACTGGCTAAGATGCCCATGTCTCACATCAGAGTGCCAGCTCCAGCTTCACTTGTCTCTGGCTAATGTGCATCCTGTGAGGCAGTGGCCGACGATCCCAGTACTTGCGTTTCTGCCAACCAACATGGGAGATCTAGATTGAGTTCCCAGCTCCTGGCTTTGGCCCACCCCCATCATCATGGGCATCTGGGGAATGAACCAGTGGATGGGAGCATTTTCTCTCTCCTCCTTTCTGTCTCTGTCTCTCAAACAAATTTTCAAAGTTCTGTTTCAAGGAATTCCATAAATATAAGTTGCTCCTTCGATCTTAACACCTTCCAAGCACCCTCCTTAAAGAAACTGAAATTGCCTACCTTGTAATCAGATTTAATGACTAAGACTGTATATCCACAAATCTACAGAGGGAGGGAATGGCCTTTTTATAATTCACAGTTGCTATTTCAATTGTCTGGTAGTACCCGAAAAGCCATTAACTGGGCAAGAGCTAGCTGCTCATGTGTAAACCTCAAAAACACCTATGTCTGATTTCCTTGTGGTCCTAGAAAGCAGGCTCAGAACCAGCACTCAGCATTACTTTCTTCATCAGATGCTATGGCCAACTCCCTCAGCGGATCCCTGTGCACCCCATTGGACCCTGCCATGGTGGCAGGGGAGCTTCATGGCTGTGTCTGGCATTCAGGAAGCATGCTGTTCCTCCTGGTGTTACAGGCCACAGGAGTCCTGCCATGGTGCTGCAAGGTTCCAAGTGTTTCAAGTGTCTTAGAATTTTTTACCAAACCTATTATGCAATTCATGAGTATTTTTATCTTATATTTCAAATAGCTCTTGCTGAATCCCAACCTACTTTCCAGCCCAACCCCGGCCAAATTCTATGTTTTCATATGTCCATTAAAGTTCATTTTCCTATTTAGGTGTTTTGCAATTCATATAAACTCTCTGTTAGGCAAATTCCAAGGAATTTTGTCAGGGGTGGGGGTCAGTGATAGAGAAGTAAATGTATGTATATGTAAACTGTACAGAATGAATCTTGTTAAGTTGTGCTTATAGGATGGGTCTTCAGCAGTCTCTACTCTGACTTATTTTTCCCATTGAAAACACAGACAGAGCACAAAGAGTCCCCTTGTATGGAAGAAGGTACAATCCACTTAGTCCTAAAGTCTTACTAAGTGATTCTGGAACCAGTTGTTGCAATGGGGCCAAACAAGCTAAATTTACTCTTTTTGTATTTGTAACCAGTTATCTAGTGAGCACAGGAGAAGCTTAAAGGGAGAAGTTTCACAAACAGAAAAATACACTGAAAATGAGATGCTTCCTTATTTTTATATTTTGCTGTTAGTCATTACCAATGACATGCAAGACAGCAGAGGGGCTTAGATCCCACACTCCTAAAGTGCTGATACCTATAATCTCCTATTTCAGAAATAACTGCTAGATAATTAATGTTGCCAGTACTTTTATGAAAGGACATTTACCAGCTGGGAAGGTCAAATTCTAAGCTTTGTCCAGTCCTTGAGACTTGTGGCATGCCACACGTGCTTACAGAGTATGTGCCATGTGACTAAACTGAAAAAGAAACATCAGAAGTGGATGACTTAGTACGAGATAAAACTGTAAAATATCTCAGAAACTTTTACATTGGTTACATACTACAATAGTATGTTGGGTATATATCAGTTTAAATAAGACAGCATTAAAATTAATCTTCCATGTGTCCTTTTAAATTTTTAATGTGGCTACTACAAGTTTTAAACTGCTTGAAGTGGTTGGCATTTGAAGTCCACATTCTGTTGCTCTGGGCGGCCCTGAGCTAACCCAGTGAGAGGAGATGGCAGGGAGAGAAGGCGTCAGAGCTCGCCAGGCTCAGAGCAATGATCACGAGGACCCCTGTCCTTGCCCTGGACAACCGATTTCCCTGAGTGATCCCAACACCCTGGCATAGAGAACCAATTAACTGCCAACCTTGCTTTTAATAGAAAAGTCTTTCTAAATCATCGATAGACGTTTACCATGTCATTTCTATGGCTCTGAGTTGATGAAGATGATGAGCTGTGCAGATGATAGGCATATAAATGCTAAATAGATGGTAGGTAGTACTGGATGTCTAATAGCTAAGTGATACAGATACAGTAATCACCCCTGATAACTACAATTCAAAACCACTGGCAAATGGTTCAGTTAAGCGGTTGGCAAACTACGAACCATGTGCCAAATCAAGCCCACCACCTGCTTGTTTATAAACAAAGTTTTATTGGAACATGGCTATAGCCATTCATTGCTATTATCCTCTATGGCTGCTTCTGCATTAAAATAGCAGAGTTCAGAAGTTGTGTGAAGAGATAATACAGCTGGAAAGCCTTAAACTATTTATTCTCCATACCTGAACAGAATTCCCTGCTGTATGGACAACACTACAGGAGTTATCCTTTTAAGTCAGATTATATCTTTCCTCTGAAATTCTCCAATGGCTTCCTAAATACTTTAAGTAAGAGAACAGAAGCCAGAGGTCTCCCCACTCCCTGACCTCACAGTCCTAGGCTCCTTGCACCCCCCACTGTGCCCACAGGGGCCAGCTCACTACGTATAGAATGTGCCAAACAAGCTTTTATTGAAGCCTCTTGCTCCCTCAACCTGGAACGTTCTTACCTTGGAGTTCTACCGCCTCCCACCTCCTTCGGGTTCCTGTGCAGGTGCCAGTGACCACACTTTCCCACTTTACGTTTCACCATAGCACCTACCATTAACTTTGCGTTGCCAACTTGTCCTCTAATTAGAAACAAGTTCCTTGAAGGCAGGCATTTTTGTGTATTTGGGGGCTGCTATATCCTGAGCACCTAGAATGGTGCTGGCACCCAAAATACATAAAGGAGTGACTGGCAGGGCGAGGGTGGGGTGCATTGTTTTTTAACTGCCCATGAGACAGAGAAATGGGGACAAGATGTGGTTCTTGCTCTAAATGGTTAAGAAATATATTCATCAATTAATTGGAAAAAATATACCAGGAAAAGATAAAAGAAGATAAATAGCTTTTTGTCTGTCTATTCTGCCTATCTGCCTTTCTTCATCCTGTGCTGTCCTTATGCATGTGTCCACCCACGAGTCTAACCATCCCTCTACCCAGTAACAGAAACATTTATAGCATCACAGGAAGTACTTTCGTCTGAAGAAAGCAGTTGTCTCTGATCACCATTAAGAACAAAATGCTTTTTGCAAAGGGATTGTAAAGACTGCAAGCAAAGCAACTGCCCCAGCTGGGGAACTGGAAGACGGAAGATGTTTCAGAATTTATGATGGTCCAGACCATGAGAAGAATTTTTTCTCAAAGGAATTTTATACAACTTGAAGTATAAATAGAAGCCTTCCTTGAAGTCTCCTCTTTTGGAGAAGTCCAGAGGGATGTCCTCTTTTCTGCCTCTTACCTCTATCCTCCCTGGCACCACAGCAATATTTTTAAGATTTATTTATTTGAAAGACAGAGTTACAGAGGCAGAGAGGAAGAGACACACAGAGAGAGATCTTCTGTCCGTCTGCTGGTTCACTCCCCCAATGGATGCAGCAGCCAGGACTGAGCAAGGCTAGAAACTAGGAGTCTGGGACTCCATCTACATCTCCCATGTGGGTCACAGGGGTCCAAGTACCAAGACCATCTTCTGCTGCTTTCCCAGGCACATTAGCAGACAGCTGGATGAGAAGTGGAGTGGCTGGGACTCTAACTGGCATTCACATGGGATGCCAGTGTCAGGCAGCTTAACCACTGCACCACAATGCTGGCCTCTCCTCCTCTTTATAGATAAGACTCCTTAGATCACAGCTAGAATATTGATAATTCTAGAAATGGGACTTCAGTTTTCATTATTTTTGTAACTCTAAAACAATGACAAAATGCTCAGAAAATAAGAACTCTGAATGTGGCTTGGTAAAATTAAGAGTATTTGTTCCATCACAGATAATACGGAGAATGTGGTAGACTCAAGAATAACACAGGAAATGTGATAGACTCATACAAATAATGAGGCATCCATTCTCACCTGCACTTCCAGCCCTGCCTTAATCATCTGTCTTATTTATTTATAATTATTAAATAGTGGCCAAGGTAAATGAAAACGTAGACAGCAGCATCAGTAACCTGACAGAGATCAAGATACTAATCTGCTGACAGAGTAGATACACAGCCAGGCATGGAAATGAGTCCTACAGTTCTGACTGCAAGTCACGTGCCCAGAACAGACCTATACCTTTGCCTCTCCTACCCTTTCTTCATATCCCATCGACAGTAGCTGGGCAGAAGCCTCGGAAAGAACTGCAAGGTTTGTTTTTCAGTTGCTTATTATCATCTGAGACCACCTCAAAAGCTAAGTGATAAATCATTGTCATTTATTACCATCAATCAGAAGAAAAAGAGAAATCATGCAATTTATCAACATCATCCTACAAATACTGAGATACAGTCTCTTGTAACACAGAAACATATTTGGATAATATTTGGGAATCCTATGGTGTATGCATTGCTTTAATCAAAGAAATCCAAAATTTTTACGTACAAATATAATTCACACACATATTCCACATTTATACTGTACCTGAGAAACTAATTCCATTTTTCTTTGTTTTAAATGTCACACTGAATTAATTTTGTCCCCATTCCTCTTACTGTGTGCACCACATGAGTCCTACCAGATGGTAATCTAATAGATATACCATTAAACTCCAAATAATACCTGCACCTTGGGTTTTGATTATCATGAAAGTGGTTAAAGGTTAATTATCTGGAATCTTAAAGTAATTTCATTGGGTTAAATAGAGAAAGCTACTTTTATCTCTTAAATGTAAAACAAGAATGATAAAAAGGTAAATATTATAGCACAACATGGACCTACCTATTCACTGACAAAGGTGTACTTGTCCTACTCCTTTATCTGCTACCTAGTTTCTAATCCTAAAAACTGTTTAGTTATCTTTATTCCAAACATCGAGCAGTATGCATTTATACTTTTAGGATTAGTATACACAAGAACAAAACCTTTCATTCAGGAAATAATGCTCAATTCTGGACAGTACAATTCTTGAACTAAAGTATTCTGATAACCACATTTGAAAATTGATGAATTTTAGGATGCAAACTTATACAATAGGTGTTTTTTTAAATAATCAGCTTTTCATTATTACAGTGGAATGCAAGAGACAAGTTACTCAGGAAGAAAAGAGAGTTTTAGTTTTACTCTCAGATCTGGATGTTCACAGTCCGAGATTGGAGAGCCCAGCTGGCCTGGCCTCTGGCGGATGGCATTTTTTGCTGGCAGAGTCCCAAGATGGCAGAGAATCAGATAGCAAGAGGGAACCTGAAATGGTTCAAGCCTATGTGGTCTCTTAAAAAACCACAGGATTTAATCACTCCAGCCCCACTCTAACAGCTCAATCAAACCCAATCATCTCTCCAAGGTCCACCTTCAAACATCCTATTTGGATTAGGTTTCAACTCTCCTAGTATCATTAACATAAGATTTTGGGGAGCAAATATTTAACACATGGGCCTTTGGGGGATATTTAACATCCTAACTAATATCCATACCAGAGCAGAAACTTGGACCTAGTAAGGAGGCCAATTATTGTTCTCTTCGAATGAAATCGCCAAACTTTGTATATTTTTGCAAGGAGCATTCAAAATAGAAGTCACACCATAACAAAATGATTCAATTAACTCTTGCTCTGTTGCCAGATTAACCTCCCTTTCCACATCAAGACAGCTTCTAAACAAATCATAGAAATTAGCGTTCAGAAAAAGTTAGTGGATAAACAAATGCATTCTGTTCTCCAACTCAAATCTCACCCCAACAGGAGCCACATATACATTTCCTACCATCTGAGAACAGGTGGCCTTGATAAATTTATTAAATAAAACCAACACCACCTTGCCTCTAAACAACAGCATATACAGATGGTCCCTGCAAGTAGATGGCTTGATAAGGTTTTTTTTTTTTAAACTTCACGATGGTGTGAAATGTTGTACATTCAGTGGAAACTGTATGTGGATGTTGAGCACAGGTATCTCCTGGGCTAGTGCTGTGTGGTCTGATCCTTTTGTGATGTTCCCAGTCAATCTGGTGATGTTCACCTCAATTATAAGACGAAATCATTGACAATCCACAGTGCACTGTGTAGCTTAGCGGGGACATTCAGTAAATCAGGTGTATTAAATGCATTTGCTCCTACAACATTTTTAACATATAATCAGTTTCATTGGAACATAACTCAATCATAAGTTGAGGAACACCCACATGATATTCATCAAACTGTACTCTAGGAAATAAGCCCATGTGGTCATGATACTAAGCAGAAGATGGGTAGAAAATATTCATACAAAAGTTGGTCTGGGTATATTCATATACCTGTGCTATCAGTAAGATGAACTAAGTTGGAGAAAGAAGAGGGAGAGGAAGAAGAGAAGGAAACTTTTTTTATTAAAGATTTATTTATTTGAAAGAGAGAGAGAGGGAGAGAGAAAGAGTCTTCCATTATTTGGCTCATTCCCCAAATGGTCACAATGGCCAGAGTTGGGTCGATCTAAA